TCTGGTTTTTGCTTCAACTCTTGGATAGCTCTGAATATTAGAGATCTGAATTCCGTATCAGGTAGTTCTAGTGCCTTTTCTTCTACTGGAAAGTCATCTGAGGTTGTATTTTAGACACCTACTGGAACCATCCTGTCATGTTTTTGTATAAGTTTTGATATTGTCTGCTGTCTTCGTGGCGTTTAGTAGTTATTTTCCTCAATTATTGATTGTAGATTTGTTTGTTTTGTTCTGATTTTTTGTTTTATATGGTTATGTCTGAACAGGTGGGCTTTGCATTCTTTGTTGTTTGCTCATCTATGGGCACGATACTTTTCACCTCCTTCTCCAACAGGCAGGGTCAGTCACTCAGGTATGGCACAGCAGGGCAGGTCCAGCTGAAGGGGAGTTGCTGGGATAGGTTGTTTGTGGCATGTACTAGGGCTGACAGGGTGGGCTGGGAATCAGTGCAGGGCAGGTTCCAGTAGGCCATGTCTGTGCTGCTTAAAGGTGTGATGTTCAGCACACAGTGGAGGTAGGCAGGAAGGAGGAGTTAGACTGGGATGTGTGGAGCTAAGATGGGTATGGGAAAGAAGAGAGAGAGGAACACGAGCCAAAAACATACACACAAACAAAAAAAGAGTGCTAAAGGACCTTGCTATTGGAGTGGCGAGGTGAGAGACTGAGAAATGGAGAAAAACAAAAATGAAAGAAAAAGGGTAAAAGAAAACAATGAATAAATTGAGAAACTGGAAAAGAAGAAAAGACAAAAAGAGAAAAAGAGAGAGAGAAGAAAACAAAACAAAGAAACAAAACAAAAACAAAAACAAGAAAAAAGAAATGCCCCCAGGGATGTCACTGTGCATCTGCACAGAGTAAGGGAGTATCTCCAAGGCCACGTGGCACTGCCCGGCCAGAAGGGGCTCCAAGCCGAGAAAAGAAATAGAAAACAATCAAACCAACAAATCAGAATGAAGAAATAAACAAACTAAAAAAAAAAAAAGCCCCGGGGGTCCCACCAGCACAGGGGCACGGGCCAGAAAGCAGTTCCACAGTTGAGCAGGGCCTTGCAGCCCCCTAAGAAGAAGCAAAGATGGCCACGGAGCCAGGTATTTGAGAGAAAGGAGAGGGAGGTGGTGAGAGGTAAGGAAGAAATTTAATGAAGAGGGAAAAAGCAACACCAGCAGCCAACAAACGGCACTCAGGGAGCCAGCCAGTACTGGCAGGTGGAATCCAAGTGACACCGGGATGGAGCCAGTACTTCCTGGCCAAGAGACTGTGGCCATGGGAAGCACAGGAGGCCGAGTGGGGGTGAAGAAGGGTGGGGGTGGGAAAGCATATATCGTTGGTTACCACTTGTTCTGTCTCCTGCTGGAAGCTCTATGAAGCTGCTTTCTTGTATCCCCTGTTTGCCGATCTCTGATAGAAATACAGGATGGTGGATCTGTGCTGCGGTAGCTGATAGGGGACCTCTGCATGTATGTCTCCTCGCTTTCTGTTCTTGGTCAGTTTCTTATTCCATTTGGTGCTTGGCTGAGTTCTCTATTTCTTCATTTGATGCTTAGGGTTTCAGGCCTCACGTGTGACTCTGTTTGACTTAGTTTTTCAGATCTTTGCTGTGGAGGGATGGCGTGGTGCTTCTGCCATGTTGCTCGGAAGTTGACCCTCTACTTTATCCAGCATAATGTCCTTCTCTAAGGACTGGTCCCACTTGATAACATGTCCAAAGTATGTGAGATGAAGTTGCACCGTCCTTGTTTCTAACGAACATTCTGACTGTACTTCTTCCAAGAGAGATGTGTTCATTCTTCTGGCAGTCCATGGTATATTCTTTGCCAACACCATAATTCAAAGGCATCAATTCTTCTTTGGTCTTCTTTATTCATTGCCCAGCTTTCCCATGCATATGAGGCAATTGAAAATACCATGGCTTGGGTCATGTACACCTTAGTCCTCAAAATGACATCTTTGCTTTTAAACCCTTTAAAGAGGTCTTATGCAGATTTGCCCAATGTAATATGTCATTTGATTTCTTGACTGCTACTTCCATAGGCATTGACTGTGAATTCAAGTAAAATGAAATCCTTGACAACTTCAATATTTTCTGTTTATTATGATGTTGCTTATTTGTTCTGTTGTGAGGATTTTTGTCTTCTTTATGTCGAGGTGTAATCCATACTAAAGGCTGTAGTGTTTGATCTTCATCAGTAAGTGCTCCAAGCCCTATTCACTTTCAGTAAGCAAGGTTGTGTGATCTGCATATCGCAGGTTGTTAATGAATCTTCCTCCAATCCTGATGCTACATTCTTTTTTATATAGTATGGCTTCTCTGATTATTTGCTCAGCAATACATATTGAATAAGTATGGCGAAAGGATACAACCCTGATGCACACCTTTTCTGATTTTAAACCACTCAGTATCCCCTTGTTCTGTTCAAATGACTGCCTCTTGGTCTGTGTATAGGTTCCTCATGTGCACAATTAAGTGTTCTGGAATTCCCATTCTTCATAATGTTAGCCATAATTTGTTATGATTCACACAGTTGTATGCCTTTGCATAGTCCATAAAACACAGGTAAACATCTTTCTGGTATTCTCTGCTGTCAGCCAAGATCCATCTGACACCAGCAATGATATCCCTCCTTCCCTGTCCTCTTCTGAATTGGGCCTGAATTTCTGGCAGTTCCCTGTTAATGTACTGCTGCAACTGCTTTTGAACGGTCTTCAGCAAAATTTTACTTGGGTGTGATATTAATGATATTTGTCCAGATGCTCCAGAATTGGATAAAGCAAGATTAATGAAGTTTGGTGATATTTTGTGGAAGAAAGACATGGATGGACATTAGAAATACACAAGATTCCTCCCGAGGAGGAACCTACAAGAATGTTTTTTATACTACAGCACATCTAGCAAACCTCTGAAAAACTCTCTTTAGGTCTCTACTGGTTCCTCTCCACTTGGTTGCTGGTGGTTGTACTTTTTTCTTCTCCCCAAACTACAAGACTCCTCTCTACCCGCCCCCTTGTTTACTTTTATAGTTTCCAAAATTTAAAAGTATAATCTACTGCAAACATTCAGACAACAAAACTAATTTAATCGACTGCCAGGTACACATCACTAAGGATAGACACTTTGCTATTTGCTTCTGATCTAATTTTTAATAAGAAATAAGATGCTGTAGGGACAAAATTGATAGTACTTTGGAAAGCTAAAGAGAAAAAAAAAAGGTTATTTTGTAATCATTATTATTTTTGAAATGTCACCGAATGCAGACCTGTCCTCATAACGCTTGGGGTGCAGCCGTCCATCTGAACCCCCTTTTTAGGGCGCCTTTGACCTCTTTGTTGCGAAGGCTGTAGATGACAGGGTTTAAGGTCGGCGTGACCACAGCATAGACCACGCTGGCCAGGCGGTCGTAGCGGGCTGAGTAGGCTGACGATGGTCGGAAATAGACGGAGAGGACAGAGCCGAAGAAGAGCGACACCACCACCAGGTGGGCCCCGCAGGTGGAGAAGACGCGGCGCCGCCCTTCAGCCGACCGCGCTCCGAGCACGGCGACAAAGATGTGCGCATAGGAGAGGGATACGAGGAGCAGCGGGGTCAGCACCACGGCCAGGCCTTCGGAGAAGATGGCAGTCTTCGCGGCGGATATATCCGAGGTTGCCAAGCTCAGCATCACCGTCACGTCACAGAAGAAGTGGCGCACAGAGGCAGAGGCAGGGTAGGAGAGCGCGGAGATGAGCAGGGTGTGGAGCAGCGAGTGGAGGTGGGCCACCGCCCAGGACGCCCCCACCAGCGCCGCGCAGCGCCCGGGCGTCATGATGGCGCCGTAGTGCAGCGGGCGGCACACCGCCACCGCGCGGTCGTAGGACATGGCTGCCAGCAGGTAGCTCTCAGTGATGCCCAGGGCCACGAAGAAGTACATCTGGGCAAAACATCCCTGGAATGAGATGGCCTGGCCCGGGTGGAGCAGCCCGATCAGCAGTCTGGGGACTGTGATGGTGGTAAAGCAGACGTCCACGAGGCTCAGGTGACCCAAGAAGTAATACATGGGAGAGTGGAGAGCCACAGCGGACCTCACCACGACCACCATGCTCAGGTTGCCCAGCGCACTGAAGAGGTAGACACCAAGGAAGAGCAGGAACAACAGCGGGTGGGCGTCTGGCCCGTCCATTAGGCCGAGGAGGAGGAACCCTGGGGCGGATGTGAGGTTGGCCAGAACCATGGAGTGCCCGGACGGGTGGGAGTGCTGAGGAGAGAGATGAGGCAGCAAGCCTAAATGCTAGGAGCTCTGGGTAGACTTCCATAACTCCATGTAAAAAATGTTTTAAAAAATTTCTCCTTGCTAAAATACTTTGAAAACTACGGTGCTCATCCAATAATCCTAATTTTATTGATGAAGAAACTGAATCTCAGAAGAGTGTTCTAGGTTAGTAGGCAAAGCTTTGGAGTAGGTCAGACCTGATTTTGAGTCCGGGGGCTGCTACTCGGATGGTGTGACCTCTCTGAACCTCAGTTTCTTCGTCTTTAAATGAGGAAAACATTAGTAGCTGCTCCTAATGTTGGTTGTGAAGATAAAGTGGATATGAATTTTAAAATACTTAGCACATAAAGCCCTGCACATAATAAGCACTCAAAACTATTATCTTTCTGTCTGTCTATTATCATCATCGTTATTTGCTTGTCCATAGTCAAACAATTAGTTACAGGCAGAGCTGGGACGGGGATCCAGGCCTTCTGAATATCAGTCTAATTTTCTTCACAAAACACCTTCTGAATTTACCATTTGATTATTCAGCATGTGCTATATACTAGCTCAGGGGTTGGTCAACTTTTGCTATACAGGGCCAGATAATAAATACTTTAGGCTCCTGGGCCAGACAGTCCCTTTTGCAATGACTTAACTCTGCCATTGTAGCACAAAAGCAGCCATAGACAATATATAAACGAATGATCATGGCTGTGTTCCGATTAAACTTTATTTACCAAAACAGATGGCAGCTAGATTTGGCCTGCAGGCTGTACTTTGCCGACCTGTGTACTAAATACTGCAATGAATAGAGCGATGAACAAGTCTTACCTTCTGCCCTCAAACAGTTTGACCAGCAGCAGCTTGCAGAGTGTTAAGCACTTTACTAATTTTATGAGCCAAGGGAGTGTAAATGATTCTTTCTGGAGGAGTTTGGGAAGAATTCAAAGAAGGGGTGGGATTTGAGCTGGGTCTTGGAGAATGAATAGGGGTTCAGCAAAAAGACACGATATGGTGGGGAAGGGGGAGGGCATTCCAGGCAGGTGGAAGAGATTGTGTGGAGTTGTTGGCAGAGGAGGCGTGCAGTGAAGAGGGTGAGACATCCACGTATAACCCGACACAAGGTTTGTCCTTGCTCTGACCACAGAGTGCACAAAATCAGTTGGACAGAAAACTTTACAGAGTTACTAAGTTAACCAAGTGATTTTTCTTATCTCAGCAACAAGGAACTCATGTCATCCCCACTCAATCTCTTCCTTAAACATATTCTTTTGTCCCATTGCTCGTAGGTTTCTAGAAATGTTCCATTACTCATCTAGTCTGTCCACCTTTTGCAGGAAAATCTTCTCTTAGCAGGGAGGCTCACTGTGGGCAGGGGCTGCATCTTACTGTCTTGCCCAGTGATCTGTACACACAATTTATCTAATAAATATTTGTTGAATGAAGCTTTTTAAGAGCAATGAATGAAAACAAAGACTAAGGGGGAGTGAAGAAGAGGAGATGACGGGCAAACTACAGTGATCACTCCTGTCACTTCCCAGGAGAAGCCCCAGATATATCCTCTTTTTTCCTTTTTCTATTTCTCTATTATTGTCACCTATTGGTTGTACCAGGGAAACAATCTGCTTGTGTTCATGGCAACCCCATTCCCTTACCCAATGTAGAATCAGAGTCCCCCACTCAGTCTCAGAGCTAGGAACTTGGCCTCCTTCAAATCCATACTCTTTTGAGTACAGGATTCTCCTCTGCAAAGCCACTGCCCTTCCTTACCAACCTCCACGTGGGAGGGTATGTAATGTCATGGAGAGACCACTGGCTTTGGAGTCAGGGCTGCCTTGGTTTTAATTCTGATTGGCTGTGTAAACATAGACCCGTGTTCATGTCATCTCCACTCTTCTAATCTGTAAAATGGGGACATTGATTCCTATCTCACATGGTTGATGTTACTATTAAATGAGGTAATGTATGTACAAGCACTTAAACAGAATGGATGCTCAATAAATGTTAGTTTCCTTCCTTCCAGCCTTGGATGTTCTCCCTGCTCCTTGATGGCTTCTTGAGGCACTCCAGTCCACTTCCGGAGAGCTATAGTTATTTAAGTATGTTTTTCTTTAATCTCAGCTGAAACCTTCTATTCATAGGCCCCGTTTTGGCTTCTGGGGTTACACATCCAAGTCTCCTTTCTCTGCAGCTTTTCCAGTACTGGTTGAAGGGATCTATTCTGTGTCTACTAAGTCTTCCTTCCCCCAGCTTAAACACTCTGATGCCTTAGACTCTTTCTTATAGACTTAATTTTCAGACCCTTTTCCATTCTAGACATCCACTGCTTTGTCAATGTTTTTCTTAAGGGGAATGGGATACAGTGCTCCAGCTGGGGTTGGACTGTGCAGAATTCCCTGGGGCAGTATAACAGCTCAACCATACACTTCGTGTCCGTTTATTGAGTGCCAGGTTTGGGCGAGGTATTGTGTGGGGCTCTGGGCTGTAGCGGTACGTCAACCACCATCCTTGACCTTCAGCCTTGCACAATGTGACAAGCAGTATGCTATTTGTGTGAACAAAGTGGGAGTGACTTTCTCTGCCTGCTTGTTTCAGAACAACCAGTTACTATTGAGTCAATTCTGACTCATGGTGACCCCATGTGTTGCAGAGTAGAGCTGCACTCCATAGGATTTTCAAGGCTGTGACATTTCAGAAGCAGATCGCCAGGCCTTTCTTCCAAGGCATGTCTGGGTGGGTTTGAACTGCCAACCTTTTGGTTAGTAGTCAAGCACTTAACCATTTGTGCCACGCAGGGACTCCATGCCTGTTTCAGGGAAGGTTCCAGAAAAGAGGTGAGGTTTGAACTATGTCTGGAAGAATGAGTAGGAGATCATCAGTTGACAGAGGCATGGAAGTGGGAAAGGAATTTCATGCAGGTGGAAGAGAAAGTGAAGGCACAGGAAGATGTTTTGAGGGTGGAGTAGAGCTGAAATATGACCTCTTTCTCCCTAATGCTGTAAGGCAGAATGGAAATGGGGCGGGGAGGAAGGTAGCACACAAGGCAAGAAGATAAGAGAGCAGTATTGGTCCTCTCACCTGAAGGGCTGCATGCTAGACGTCAGCGCTGTCTGCAGAGTCTATCGGCCGTCCTTTCTCTTGGCCAGAGATCACCAGTCCTGAAGGCAGACCCACTGTCATCCATCTCAGCCCGGAGACCTCAGCCTGTTTCCTGTAGGCTAGGGCAGCAGCCCTGGAGAGAGAGAAAGCCAATGCTGTGAGGACCCTGGGAATTCCTGAACCACGCTGTCCCCACTTTACTGCCCTGCCAGTCTCCTCACTGCCCACTGAATACAGTGCATACGTATTCAAAGCCTTCCAACATGGCTCCTAACATTCTTGTCCAGTCTTAGCTCCAACTACTTTCATCTGTTGCCCTCCCTCCTACCCCAGCCAGTTTGGCCTTGTCACTGTCTCTTGCTTACGTCTTTCTCACATGCCATCCCATCCCCACATGAAGTGCTCTCCCTGCCTTATCTCAATACCCAGCTCCGGCTCCCCCTCTTCCAAGAAGCTCCATCTCCTTTCCTGACTTCTCCGGGCCCAGTGTAACCCTCTTTTGGAACTTAGCCCTCAGTTGCCTGGTATTAAAGTGACTTTTTCTTCTGTGATGCTCATCTTCCCTACTAGATGATGAAACTTCTGGGGGCAAATATTTAGTTGTCTTCTCCAATCTGACCTTAGCACTGGAGTGCACGTTACTCCTAACGCTCCTGGCAAAGTCAGGGAAGGCTTGTGGCAAGGCCAAGATGGTGGAGCAGTCAGATGCTTCCTGTGGTCCCTCTTACAGCAAAGACCCAAAAAAACAAGTGAATTGATTATGTATGACAGTCTAGGAGCCCTGAACATCAAAGGCAAAGTTGAGGAATCAGACCGAGTGGCAGGGGCAGGGAGAGATGGTTTGGAAGCAGCAAGAAGTTACCAGACCTGACCTGGCAGGAGCCAGCACCCTTCAGCCCAGCTTGGCTTGTGTGCACCGTGAGGCAAACAGTGGCACTCGGGAGGTGTTTTCATCAGTAGAGACCTAGCAGCGGAGAGTCTATTCACGCCTTCAGAACCAGTGAAAAACAGTGATCAATCGGCAAAAGAAAACACATGCTTCTGACCTACTGCGCAGATCAAAAAACACCTACTTTGGGAAAAACTTCTTCCATTTACCTGCCCCATCCCCTCTCTGCACCAGGTCCTGGGCAGGCTTCAGCCATTGCTGAGTCCCCTGGGCCGAAAGTGCAACCTATTACACACCCTGAGCCATTCTCCTGGCCTTACAGAGGGAACAAATTAACAAACAGGAAAAAATAATCTGCTGGTTCCCCTATGCCAGGAACTCAGAGTAGGCACAGCTCCTTTGCCTAGGCACAGGCATAAAGGGTCCAAGGACTTTGAATGCCTTTCAACCCTGCATAGGCCCTCATTATCACAGTACAACAAGGTATATACCTGAAGCCTAACTTCAACTGTATTAGCTATATGGTGAAGTGGCAGGTTTGTGACATTGGACACTACTCTGACCATTAAGCAGGGTCCTCACCTACCCATATTAGGAACCTGATGACTGGTGGCTCAGCCTACATCACCTAGCCACCCGTGACAGGGGTCCAAGAATAAATGGTGCCTCCCAGTCCTTACAGCCAACAGTATTGGGTGTTCATACTCCAGCTGCAAACGCCCCCCCCCCCACCTACGCACTCTAGGGAAGAGGGACACATTTTCCTCCCAGACACTCAGGGGCAGCCATCAGCCCCCTGCCTTGCTCAGTGCGTGACCCCCTACAGCAGCCAGATATCTGTGCCTACACCAATCACCCCTGCCTGTCTAGGACTGTAGGTGAGAGCCTGCACCACACACTTGGTGACTGACTACGTGGACACTTGATCTTAATCCAT